TGATCTTAATCGAGAGTTATCTTAAGTGATTCCGATTATTTAAGATGTAATTAACTATAGGGGCTTGCCTCTATAGGGAACCAGGAACCCAGATAAAATAAACCCTATCTAATTTTTATGTTAGATAGGGGAACTTGTTGGCCTTTTTATAAAATATTTCGCAGATCAAAACGGATGTCACAAATTGTTTAGTCTAGATGATTAAATCCCTATTACAAGTAATATATTTATTCTTCGGGATAAGTGTATTGCTTGTAGTATTGTATTAAATCATCTAAACTATTTGAAAATGTGAGACTCGTTTGGTCCCACTTATTTTAAAAATTAAAAAACGTTACTTCTTTATATTTATATTTAAATTATTTTCAAAATCCCAAAATCATCACCTTTTCAAACTACGAAAGTGAAGTTGAACAATAAAACGGCCGACAATCCTCTTTTTGTTTCCTCACTTCAATTAATTGTTGTACCTAAATACCTTTCTTAAAGTGCAATATCAACAATAGAAATGTATAAAAACAATCATAAATTATGGTTAACTTTTTCATGCATCATGGCCTCGGTCACACACCCTTCAATTTAATTTTGCTATTAGTTACTGTTATGTCCTTTATTATCGGCCCTCTGCCCGGGAAGTTATATCAGCAATAAGCAGATGAAAGCTAGTAAGGCCAAAAAAAAAAAAAAGTTTAGTTTGGTTATAATGTATCAAAAATAAATAAAATGTTATTTCTATAACATTTATTTTTGAGGTTTTCCTCTTTTTCTTGCAGCAGCTGTTTAATTTTATTCGGTTTTAATCATCTTTTATTGTACGCCCAAGCCTCACCAGTTCGCACTGTCCCTGTATAAGTGTTTCCTTGCCTGCTTCATGCATTCTGCAATTTCTTTGAGAAATCCAGTGCGGTTATACCAACATTTGTTTTAAAATTTTCTTTTTTTATTCCCTCTCGTTTTACTCAGGCAGAGTGTTATCATTATCTATTTGATGCTGCAATTAAGCTCCATCAGTTGGGAATTGATTGGACAAGTCCTAGCCACGGTTTTATTAAAAATGAATCATATCAGAGAGTAAGCAAAAGGAAGTTTGAAGTTTATGCAAATGCAGGACTTGCTTTTCAAGCTTCTAAACCATCAAGGGTAGGTTCCTTGGTTCGTTTCTAGATACACTCTTAAGATGCCATGGTTTAGAAAGAGGGCATAACCAGTATGTTATGATTATTCTTTATGTAATGGGAACAACATGTGGTATTCTTATATAGGAATAAACACACATTTGTCTCTTTTACCCTCAATTACTTTTTTCATTGATTTTATACATAACTGAACGGGGATTTTAATTTGCATTATACTTATGGTATGTTGCAGAAATGCATTGTACTTGACATTGAGGGGACAACAACGCCAATATCTTTTGTTACAGAAATTCTTTTTCCCTATGCGCGTGATAATGTGCGGAAGCATTTGATATCTACATATGACACCATAGAGACCAAAGATGACATTGAACTATTGCGTGCTCAAGTAATGGCTTACTTTTTTGCTATATTACTTTTCAGCTTCATCATTTTTTAAACAACCTTGTATTAGTTGCTTTGTAAAGGCATTTTGCTATGCTTGCTAGATGATCATTTTATTGCCAAGAAATCACATAAAAGATGACTTTTTTGCGTTAGTTTTAAAATGTTAATAATAACCTTCTGTTTCTTACAATTTATATACTATTAATCCACTGGCTTTCTCTCTGATAGCAATTTATTAATTTCATGATGTATTTATTAACTTAATTTGATTATTTTAAATTGATAAGGGTTAGGCTTTTTGTATGCTTTAAGCCTTTGCTTCTGGACATGCATCTGTTATTTGTAATATTCTAATATTTCTCTCTTTTTGGTAGTAAAATATTTTACTTAAATGCTGCCCCAGTCTTTTGAATGCATGTAAGCTACCAATTAAATCTTTCTATTCTGAATTTCTAACTGGCTAAGTGGATATTACACTTCTTATATCTTGAGTGCCATTAATTTGTTTTTGCAATTTAATGTAAAGCATTATTTCATTTTCTGTATATATATTATATTTTATTTTATTGGCAATTTGATACAGGTTCTGGATGATTTGGAGAAGGGTATTTTAGGTTGTACACCCATTCCACCTGATGATGCTGGGAAAGAAGAAGTGATCGAGTCCTTGGTAGTCAATGTTGAGGCAATGATAAAAGCTGATAGAAAAATCACAGCACTAAAACAGTTGCAGGTAATAAATCTACCAATCCTTACGTGGAGTGCTCATGTCCACAGTTATTGTTGTTTACTTGTTATTTTCAGGGACATATATGGAGAACTGGCTATGATAATAATGAATTGCAAGGCGTTGTTTTTAATGATGTTCCTGAAGCTCTTGAAAGATGGCATGATGGTGGCATCAAGGTATGATCAAAATATATGTTTGTGATGTTTTACTGCCAGAGTATGGTTTTCCTGAAACTCTTTAAATGGTTCCAATTGACTTAACTCGTAAGTAAAAGTTTTCTTGCCTTCAGAGAGAAGTCGCGTTAATGGTTCGCTTGGGATTCCTAATAGGTAAAAGCATTTAAGAGGTAAAACATCTGTTGAATAAGAGAGTGGACTGATGCGATTCTATTCCTTCTGCTGTGGCCCTTTTTTGGGGGTCCTTCTGCTATTTTTTTGTAGGCTCAGATGCAATTATTTGTGGAGTTTACTTGACTATTCGTTTTGGTGTCACCTGACTACGATTGTTCTATGGGACAAGCTCTTTATTTTGGAACTTAAAAAAAAACTCTTATGGCTCAATAAACATTAGTTTTAATATGCAAATCATTCCTCTTTTAAGATTTTAATCCTTGAACCAGTGTGAAACTTAAAGTATTCTGAAAGAGTTCTCCATTTATTTATGCGACACTAGCTCATTCATGATTCCTTTCTTTTTTTCTCTCCTCTTTTCCCGTTGTTCTCATCTCTTCTTTGTTTATTGTGTTCTATTGAAAATAAAATAGTTTTTTATGAGAGTTGTTATGTTCTATTTTAATTTTCTTGGACCAAATTTAAATAACTTGCATTACTTTCGGGGTTCATCCTTTAATTGTTGTAAATTTTATTTGAATTCCCAAATATTTTCAAATAAATTAGGGCTTTTTGTGATCAATTTTATTTCTTGTTTTTATTTTTGTTTTTAGAAACATATTTTTTTAGTGTATTTTCTACATATATTTTTCTTTAATATATTAACTTCTTTTTAAAAATACTAAAACAACATAGATGTTTTGAGTGTTTTAAAAAACCTAAATATATTTGTAACATGCCAAACATATGTTATTTCAAATCAAAGCATAAATAAAACATAATAGAGATAAAAAATAAAGAATAAAAAAATAGGGATGCCAAACAACTCAGGTTTTTATCATTTTTAGTCTTCATTGAAAGTAGCAAATAATTGTGTATGATTAATAGCTTGATTTTTAGCCAAATTCACATAGTTGTTGCACGGTTCATCATATCTACTTGTACATTTCGTATGGAAGTGCATTAGAATCCCCAAACCCTAAACCATTCTATATAATACTTCATGTTAAGCTTAATATTATGATAGTGTAATCTCCCATATTTTGTGGAAATTGATTATGTCTGAGTGTAATATCTTGTAAATTTTGTAAAACAAGTGAAATTACATGTGCTTGAAATGAATTAGAACTAATTTTACATGGAGGTGAGTAAGAGAAAATTAGAAGCTTCATATCAAAGCACATGAATTAATTTTTTCTTGAGACATGGAAAATATGACCCAATAATCTATATATTTTTACCAAATTAAAAATTAGGATATTGGAATATTTATTCTATAAAATATTTTGGTTTTTTTCATGCCTCAAAAATAATTATCATGGTCTTGTTAAGAATGCATATCACATTTTACTTTATAGTTTATTTTTTATTTTAGTACAAATAAATGGTAAAACTAATAAATAAAATATTTTATAAAGATTTGTGTTCTTCCAAAATTTTCCTAATTTATAAAACTGACACCAAAACACTTGAGATGAACTAGTCAACACACACACTTGAGTTACGGCCAAATCATTAAAAAATAAACAAATCATTGAGAACAAAATTTTATAATTTTGTCTCCTTCACCCTCCATCAGAATTTTTGAGGTAGTTTCAGGGTATTAACAAGATTATCATCTTTGTAATTTAATTTAAATAAAGTAAAAGAGAGTGACAAAAATCTAAGGTTCAACCTAAAGGATGGTGATGAGCACGTTGTTTATGAATCTATGAATGTGCTGCATGAAACAAATACATCGATTGATCCATTTCCTTTGTTATTGAGTTTATGGATGAAGTAAAAAAGTAGAATAATTCGCTAACCAACATTATGGAGTCAGCTAGCCACAAACTCTAAAATTCAATGCTGTAGGATATATGATAAATATCATAAAAAGTTGGTAGTTTGGATTATTTTAGTGGACTACCAAATGCAGGTCTCATATTTATCTGTGAATTCCCAATCTACTTTTAAAATTTCATATTGATGTAATAATTTGAGCATTTAGTTATTTAATATGTTGGCGCTGTTAAATCAACCTAGAGGGGTGGTTTCAAGCTTTGCTAGTTCAGCTTCTTGGGTACCTCTGGAAAATTTAAATCACTTGAAAAAAATGAATTAGTTGCTGCCATGAAACCTTAAATGTAGTATTTTTTTTTTTCGGGTGTAGTGTTTGGAAGACTAAATTAAAACTTTGAGAAGGATGAGACGCTTATTTGCAAATGCAAATATTTTAGTCCCTTGGCCAGAGTTGGGTGCAACTTACTTGGCTGCCCTTGGGCTCAACTTGTCCAACCTTTGGGTTACAATATCCTACCCCTTACCTTCTTGAAGTCTGGCAGACATTCTGGATGATTTAATCTTGGCCATTGCTATTGTTATCTAATGTGAGGCATTGATGTGATGTCCCATTTCAGTTATACGGGGGAGGGAAACAGAGCCAAAGTGAAGGAGCGGAAATGAAGAGTCGAATAGAGGGGAGAGAAAGCGAAGGGGGTCAGAATTTAAAGAGTTGAATTCACTAGAAATCATCGAAACTGACTTACATTTAGAGTCGAGCAGCTCTGATGCGAAGGAGAAGAAGACGCCGAGGTTTAGTGTAGGAGTCGTCGTTGAGCAGAAGAGGAGACGACGTCTTTGTCAAGCAGAGGAGGAGGCAACATCAATGTCGGCTGATTGAAGGAAAGGAAGGAGCCCTGGTGCATAGGAAGAAGACCTAATCACATAAGAAGAGGACTTTTGCATGATTTAGGGCTAGAACGAGGCTTTAAAGGTAAAATTTAATAATTTTATTTATTTAATAAGAAAATTATATATA